TGAGGCCAGTTGATTTTACCTGATGGGGCATCAATGTCAAGATCAGGAGTCTGAACATCTACATCAGGGCCTTTAAGGTCAACATTTGGCAAGTTGGCATTAACATTGGGTGCACTCAAATTACCATCAATCTTTGGTGTAGAGACCTTAAGATCAGGTGCTGAAAGGTCAGCATTGAGGTCCGCATTGAGATCAGCATCTGGTCCTTTAACTTTAGGGCCTTTCCATTTTAAATGAGGCCAGTTGATTTTACCTGATGGAGCATCAATGTCAAGATCAGTGCCTTCAAGATCAGCTTTTGGCAAGTCAATGCCAACACTGGGTGCACTCAGGTCACCATCAATCTTTGGTGTAGACATCTTAAGATCAGGTGCCGAAAGGTCAGCATTGAGGTCAGCATCTGGTCCTTTAACTTTGGGGCCTTTCCATTTTAAATGAGGCAAATTGATTTTGCCTGAGGGCATGTCAACATCAGCATTTACATCAGGGCCATTCAGATCCACCTTTGGTACATTCAGATCAAAATCTGGATTTTTAAGATCCACCTTGGGGGCTGACAGATTGAGGTTTGGTGCCTCTACACTTTTATTAACAGAAGGGAAAGCTGCATCTCCAGATATATCCATTTTTGGTTTTGGTGTTTCAAGATGAGGCAGATTAAAATGTGGCATTGTGAATTTTGGGGCACTGTATTTGCGTGCCTTTACGGCTGGTTTCTCAATATCAATGGAAGCACTTGGTGTCTTTACCTGTGGAGTTGAGACACTGGCATTTGGTGCTTTTAATCTGCCACCTATATCTGCATTTATTTCTGGCCCCATCAGTCCTGTGGAGGGCATCATAACTGTAGCACCTGCATCAGCTGAGCGATTATTTAGGCTGAGTTTGGGAAGGTCTCCATTGAGAGTGGGGCTTCTTATTTTACCACCAAATCCATGATCAGTGTTGAGATTTCCACTCAAGCCATTAAAGGAAACTGATGGTGCTTCAGCTAATGCATCCAGTGAGAGGTCCTTTTGAAGCAACTGTAAAAGAGGAATTTAAAAAAGTATATTAAGATGCAATTGAAGTATTACATTTTGGATAATATATTTTTTATCCAAATTGTTCAAAACTATTCACTAAATTGGAAAACCCTACTTGAATCTACTGCTGTTTTTATGAGGACAAAGTCCAACACACTGTTATACAATATATTCTAAATAGATGTCTGTTTATATCTTTTTATTTTTATGATCAATCACAAATTTAAATCAATTTTGCCAAGGCTCAGACTGTAATATTTACCGCTGTAGGGTCTTTGAGCCCTAATCCCAAGGGACCAAGTCCAGCGCTGGCACTCAGATCTTTCTTTGTCACAATCTTCAGTTTGTTTTCATAGGGCTTCAGGACCTCCAGGATGTTATGCACCTCATTTCGGTCAAGGTCGTGCAGATTTATGGTTGCTGCCACAATATCATCCTCTGGAACAATAAGGAACAATGTTAAATCTTGAAACTAAATGCGCATTAGAGGTCCAAAAAACAAAAATAATTTTATGAACAGCATTTTTTTTCCCCTGACCAGCTTGCAGGCCAGCTTTGGCAGCAATTGATTCGTCTGCATTCCCTTGAATGGAGAGTCCATTCCCAGAGCCATCTAGAGCCAGGTTTCCTGAAACACTTGCGTTTTTGATTTCTCCACTCTGAAAGAAAATAGAAAACAACAAAAGATCTTATTTACAACGTGTATTTACATTTCCATCTACCATCCATTCATCCATTTTCTTCCGCTTATCTGGGGTAGGAACGTAGATTGATCAGTAAATTGAGAGGTTCACCTTTTGACTCAGCTCTCTCTTCACCACGACAGACCTGTACAGCGCCCGCTTCACTGCAGACGCTGCACCTATCCACCTATCGATCTCACGTTCCATTTTTCCCCTCATTTGTGAACAAGACCCCAAGATACTTGAACTCCTCCACTTGGGGCAGAACCTCCTCCCTGACCTGAAGAGGGCACTCTACCCTTTTCCGGCTCAAGACCATGGCCTCGGATTTGTAGGAACCGATCATCCTGGCTGTGTCGCACTCTGCTGCAAATCGCTCCAGCGAAAGCTGTAGCTCACGATTTGATGAAGCCAATAGAACAACATCATCTGCAAAAAGCAGAGACGTGATCCTAAGGCCACCAAAACAGACCCCTCAACACCTTGGATGCACCTAGAAATTCTGTCCATAAAAGTTATGAACAGAATCGGTGACAAAGGGCAACCTTGGCGGAGTCCAACTCTCACTGGGAACGAGCCCGACTTACTGCTGGCAATGCGGACCAGGCTCTGACAGCGGTCATACAGGGACCTAACAACCCGTATCAAAGGGCCTGGTACCCCATACTCCCAGAGTACCCCCCACAGGGTTCCCCGAGGGATGCGGTCGAACGCCTTCTCCAAGTCCACAAAGCACATGTAGACCGGTTGGGCAAACTCCCACGCACCCTCCAGGACCCTGCTGAGAGTGTAGAGCTGGTTTAGTGTTCCACGACCAGGAAGAAAAACGCACTTCTCCTCCTGAATCCGAGGTTCGACTATCCGACGGACCCTCCTCTCCAGAACCCCCGAATAGACCTCACCAGGGAGGCTTAAGAGCATGATCCCCCTGTAGTTGGAACGCACTCTTCCATCCTACCATTGCTTGTATTTTATCATTTCATTCAGACTTTAAGTTTTGACACAGAACCATTAGGTTTTTTTAAGGGCTGCTTTGATGTACTTACCATTTTGTGCTTGTATTCACACCCACATATCAAGGAATAAATGCAAAAGACCACGGGAACGTCACTCCAGCAAAACAATCTGTAAAACAGTAAAGCAAAGTTGTGACAGTTCTAATCAGTGTCATTACAAAGACAGCAAGGTACAAGTCTTAATTTGATGGTTAGTTTATTAGGAAAAAAAAAAAGTTAATTTTTTGTCGTTATTCCTTTTTATTATTTTTAAATGTCGTTTGTCAGTTGGTTGTTTTAAATATTCACTAATAATACAGCCATCAACAGCTTAAGGCCTAGAAGAAAGAACTGATTTAAGGTTTTTGTTTGATTTAATTGCTATAATGCCCATAAACGAAGTTCCTGCCCTGGTTCTAACTCAGCCTCACCTCATTACCAGTTTGTATGCTGCAGTAATTCCTACTTTGAAGATAAAAACAGTTACCATGGTACAGTTTCCAGTGGTTCATATTACTATTGTAAAAATGTTATCAAAATGGATACCGTTTGCAAACCATACGGTAAATGTTTATCCAGTAGAAACATAATCCTGGACCAAAATAGAAGGCAGTTACAGAACACTGGACATTTTGAGTAAACAGAACCAAGACTCGTGCTCGTTTGAATTCTAGATTCAGAATAGTGCTGAAAGAAGCTCGTTTTGAAGGTGGTCACTGCATAACATGCAGGTTAAAAAAAAAAAAAAAGGAGTAATAGTTAAATCTATTTGAGAGACCACTTTTTTTTTTTTTTTTTTTTACACCAAATGTAACAAATCACAGACTAATATTGGCAGTCTTTGGAACTCAGTACCGTGTATAACTTGTTTACCAGCTTTTTAAAAACTTTGTCGTTTTCCACCATCAACCTACACGCTGCGCTTGCCCAGACTGGACGGTAGTTACACTGAAGGGAAAGTTTTACCTTATCTGCTGTTTTCTTTACAAATAATTTTATTTACCAATACAACCTAACTGTGCTGCAATCTATTTGGACTGAAATGAAATGCATTTAATTAGCTGTGATTTTGATTTATTATTTTTTTGTATAGTGCTTTAAGATGACTTGTCGTGAATCTGTACGATAAAAATAAACTGAATTTATTTGAATTTCCCATGTATTTTTTGAAGATCTGAAATGAATTCAGTACAGCGAATATAATGTTAAACAATTAAACAAGTATTTCAACTTATACCACCACCACCACCACCACCACCACCACCACCACCACCACCACCACTACTACTACAGCTAATAATGATTTTAGATGGAGGAAATCCCACTTAGGTTGCTGGGGTTTTTTTTTTTAATCCTTTATGCGCATTCTTAATACGTTTTTAAAATATAACAAGAATTGTAATTGAAATTAAAGTACAGAATAATTGTGTTAGGACCTTTTATACCCTTTCGTATAATATACTTTTTCATACCTCCCCAAATCATTGTAGCAAATAAAATTTCAAACCAGATGAAAACATTAATCCAGCTGGAAAGACGAGTGTTAATCAATACAGTTAGAAGACGCAGTTCAGTCTTTAGTGGGGGCTATCACCAAGGCTAAGTTCATCCTGCCTGTGTTCATCCTTTCCCACCTGCCTTCAGCAGCTTCTACAATCTGAGGCTGATCGAGAAACACCACCCAAAAACCACATCGTCTCATGCTTCAGGAATTCTAGACATCTGGCAAGTTTAGAGAAGGGAATGTGCGCATTTAAACCAGTTGGTTTGGATTCATACTGACTGACACACACACAAACACACACACACACCCTCCTCCCTTTGACCACACCTTAGCATTTTCATATTGAAAGGCTAATGTCATAGCTGAACTGACGTGCAGGTTTGAGGGGAGCCTTGTTGGATTGTGCAACAAAACCTCAAAAATTAACAACCAAGGATGGCTACTGCAATCTGATTTCAAACTACATCTGTAATTTAAAATTAATGGAACACGTGACCAAAAAAGTTATAATGGAGACGGGAAGATCCAGCTTGTCGATTGCAAAAGCAACGTTGAGCAGAACATCCCAGGGATGAGACAGATCCAAGTGGCAGAATCTGACCTCAGATCAGAGAGTTCATTTGAACAAAAGCTCATTGGTAAGACAAACCACCAGTCCTTATAACAAGCCAACAAACTGAGTTGCGATAACTTTGCTTCACATAGAAGAACTTGCAGATGGCAGATAAAGTCTGTGTTTATTTTGCTTGCTCAGGATGGGAGACTGACGCAGTGAAGATTCAACATGTCTGCTGACTTCCTTCCTCAGATCACCATTTGACTTTTGTATGCATGTGGATGTTTCTGTTCAGTGCCCTGGACAACTTCTGTTGTGATGTGGTGCTATAGAAACTGAACTCAAGACTTGTTTGTCTAATAATACGCCAACGACAGAAAGCCAGTGACCGTGTTTTGAACCGCTCGACTCTTTTGCAGAGGCGTCCCAGATTCTTTCCAAAACAAAAAACCAGCAAGGGTTCAAAGAAAACAAAAGTCAAACAACAACAACAACGGTGTTAATAGGTGTTTTCCTTGGTAACACCAAGTCAAGAACAGCATCAATCAGTTCAAGTTCCACTGACCACAAAACTGAAGATCAAACCCAGTATAATGTTTCTTCTATACTAGAAAAGTCTGCTGCACCATTTACATTGTGACACCCCAAATCAGATAAATTCAATACCTACTGATAAATTAACAAGTGTTCTCTAGTTCCAAATCTGTCTATTAACTGAGGTGGTGTGATTAAATAATTTGCAGCTGAAAAATATTGTATTAAAAATACAATTTTAAAAAAGCAGAGCTAAGCATCTAGTTTTGATGTAAAACAACCAAATCAATTAATTGATTATTATTATTAGTTAAAATTTATGTTTCCAGGTCTCTTGATTTTGGACCACAATGCTAAGAGCCATATTTTGCATATGTGAGGAACTCACCAGGTACTGCAGTCAGAGACGTCTTGACCCATGGAGAGATGTCCACTCTTCAGAGTATCACTGCTGCTCTGTTTGACAGAACCTGATGAATCAGTCTGTTAAATGCCTGTAAGCTTAAAGTCAGCCAGGAGAACAGGTTTGACAGCATCAGGACCGCCTCTCCTCATGACCCATTCCTTATTTGCAACACATACACACCTTGAGTTGAGACCGAGTTTTTGCCTGCCGAAACTTAACTAGAAAGCTTGGAAGAGAAAGATGTTGCAGAGAAACACCACTCCTTTTATAAACAGGACTAACCAGGTTTACAACAGCACGACTGTCTCACAAGCAAGCACCAGAGCTTTTTCTCTACGTCACATCTTCATTTTGGAACATTTGTTCCTATAAACTAGCCCAAGGCACCGATTTATTTTTCAAATCTTGGCTGTGTGTTTAAATACAAATACCAAATTAGCTGCCCATTTAAAGCATGTTTCAGACACCACAGTTCATTCAACACACTCATATCTGCATCCGTTGCCCTCTCTTTTATGAGCATCCTCAAACTCATTGCACCATGAAATTTAACAATGACAGGAGAGGTGGTTACATTGGATCATGCTTGCAGATTATAATTTTCATACCACAAAAATTGTAAATGACTCAATATATTCTAAAAAAAAAAAAAAAAAAAAATGCGTTTACAGCTGTGGTTTATCCAAAAATTACAAATAAAGTGAGGTTTATGTTTGGACAAATTTAAACAACACCATGAAATAACTGACCTGAGTTAACAATGTTATGGGGTTCTTCTCCTTGTTGTGGGACAGGAAGTCACCAAAACAGTTAAAAAGTGACAACTGCGGAACATAGATGGACAAGAAATATGAGAACAGATTAAAAAAAAAAAAATCTGAAAAGTACAAAACTTCCCTGGAGTCATATTGTCAGCCTCCACCTCTTACTCCTCTGTTTTTTGTAACCATTGAGTACAGAGGCCGACAAGAGCAAACACACCGCAAAACATGAATCAAGCAAGCTCCGAAATACACACACCCACACACACACACAAAAAAAATGCAAAAGAAAAATTTGACAATCACAGATAATAGAACAACCAACAAAACAAAGAAAACATGCTGCAAATGCCAAACACACTAAAAACACTTCTTTCTTCCCACCAACTTCCTTCTGTGGAACTGTTTTTACAGCGGCTCTGGACCCCCTTGTGATCTGGGGCATTTCCATTTTGTAGTGAGCGCGCAGCGTTTTTTACTTGCAGTTGTTCAGGAGTTTGTATCATTTATGCATTCGCTGCGCCTGTCGGTCACTGTAATTTAGCTTCTCTGGCAGTTTGGGAAAAGCACAAAACAAAAGAATAAAAACTAAATCTGCTGTGCGTTTAGAAATTATGCACCCCGACTTCTGGTTGAAGCACCTTTTACTGCAGCTTTGACAGAAAATGGGGAGGAAATAAAGTTGTCCTTGAAGACAATATGGGACAATGGGATTTTAGCAAAACAAGCGAGTACCTTGTGTTCTCTGGAGTTCTACGGCTCAGACAAACTTCACAGTAGAACATTTAAATGAATCACAAAGTGTGACTTTACTTAACTAAACTGGCATTTTCACAGCTTTTATGGTTTTTACCCAGTTGCAGTTTAGGTCTGATGATGAAACGTTGAACGTAGACTGTGATGTCATGCCCAGATTTGAGCCGTTTAAAATGTTTGGAACCAAACCCTTCTACAACTCCCATTCAGTTTCACCTTCACAACAAGCATCATTCTTCTTTCACTCAGTTTCTTTCACCTCTCGTTTTTCCTCTTAAATCCCTCCAGATTGCAGAGTGCATATATCTAAATTTTCACGGACTTCTACTGTATCTGAGCAGAGAAGTTGCTCTTTAAAACGAGACACAAAACCACAGACACAACAGTAACTTGGGTGACAACCACTTACACTACTTACAGTTCTGAAAATGTTTTTTCCAGTACAACTTGCATTTCCACACAGCTGCTGTTTGCTTGAAGCTTCATTTCTACTCCCAGGTTTCTGACGCAGGTGTGCAGCATGGTGGACACACAGGTGTGTGGTTACCATGGTGACCCTAACGAGCCACTGGCAGCAGCTAGTGTGTGCTTTGCTGTTGATGAAAACCTGTCCTGAAGTGAACATTCATCACAATCTGCTGACCATTAAACAACTACTGGGTTCTTTCACTCATGTTTTGGAGTACTAAAACCTAATTTTGAAATATATTTTTCTTTCATTGTTTTAGGTGTTATAAAGTTTTTGGCTATGGTCAATTCAATTCAGTTCAATTCAGTTTATTTATATAACTACATGTCCCAACAGAAGTTGTCTCGAGCACTGAACAGAAACATTCGCATACATACAAAAGCCAATTAGTAAAGTTCTCTATCTAAGATCCCTGTGATGGACTGGAGACCTGTCCAGGATGTCCCCCGCCTCTCGCACAGTGATGGCTGGACATGGGTACCAGTGACCCATGACCCGGAAAGGGAGAAAAGATGATGGATGGATCTATCCAAGGTTAGAGACCAACTCTTACATCTAAATTTAAACTTTACTGTCTGTAAAATATGACAATAGTTTGTACAGAACAAGCTGTGATGTCGATCATAAAGCATGGAGCGTGGAGAAAGAGACATAAGTCTTCATCCAAGTTAGGCAAATAGCTAGCCAAACGACAGTCTTCAGTCTTATTTCAGGCTTTTTCCATAAAAACAATATACCACTGTGAAAGAACGCTACTTTAGCTCATATTAAATCTTCATATTCTGTCCTGACACCGTTTGTTTAGTTTGTTGCAGTTTCCTCAACGAAACGTCTTTTACTGGTTGAAGTTACTTTGAATAAGGCTCCGTTTTGTCAAAGTGTTCAGTATTGATGTATAAATACAAACTGTACAACAAAAAAGCCTTCAAAAAGGTTCATGTTGATTTTGTCCCTTAACAGCACCCATACATATAGCATGTATTTTATATGTTCTGTCTGGAACAGGTCCCTCTTGTAAATGAGTCCTCGTGGCTCAATGAGACCAGCCTGTATAATAAAGGTTGAATGAATAAAGTACTTGCACCACAGTGGAAAATGTCTGTGTGCAGCTAAAGTCTACCCCAAAAAGTGTAGCCAGAGGAATAAAATACTACATTGCGTCGCTCCTTTATGTCCACCTTATCCTCCTTTAAACATTACAGTTTGCACGAACTGAACACAAGGCAGTTCAACAGCTTCAGCTGCACGTGCTTTAAGCATTTTCTAACAATAACCAGCCATAAAGTCATTCCCATTATCAATAGTGGGGCTGCCGTAGCTTGGTGGTCAGTGCCGCCATCCTGCAATCCTGAGTGTTGGATAAAATGTAAATGTTATCATTTAAAACAGTTTTTTGACCCCGCATCATTTAATTAAACTCCAGTCGTGTGAACTAAAGAATAGCTATTTGTCTTGTTCATGTGCAGTCAGACCAAGACCTTGGGTTTTTAAACAACCATGATGTTATTCAGATCTGACCTCGCTATTCCGGCTTTCCCGTTTTGTAATCAAGCTGTCTGTTTAGTAATCTTTTCTGGCTCCGCTGCGTCGGAGAAAATCTGTATCTGTTGATTTTGCCTGATGCTCACTCCTCCTGCCTCACAATAAAACACGAGCTCTCCCGTCGAACGGCGGACTTGACCTTGACGTTTGGTCAGGTTACGAACTCCCCCCTCTGCAGAGGGCTCATTCAAAATTCTTATACTCTGTCTTGTGTGTGAATTCTTTAAAGGTGATACGAGGGAAAAAAATCCCTAACACTGAGGTTGCAGGTTTGAGCCCAAGTTGTGTCAGGAAGGGAATCTACAGGTAGAAAAAAAAGGCCAAATCTTTCATGTGAGTTTGTTCATTGTAGTAAAGAAGGGAGCAGCCCCAAAAAACGTTATTAATAGTATGAGCTAGATTATGCTGTTTGTGACCATACTTAACTGAAATATATGCTTTATTAAACACTGAGTGGTTTATCTAACAAGGTTAAGTTAGGTCCGCTGGATGAATGTCCAAATGTCCAAAGGACCTGACTTGGAGTACCTGGAGAGCTGGTGCAGAGAGAATAACCTTCACATCAATGTGAAGAAGACAAAGGAGATGATTGTGGACTTCAGAAGGAACAAAAACATCTACACCCCCCTGAACATAAGAGGATCTGCGGTGGAAGTGGTCTCCAGCTACAAGTACTTGGGTGTACACATGAATGACAACCTCAGCTGGAGCAACAACACCACCAGCCTGATCAAGAAAGCTCATCAGAGACTCTACTTCCTCAGACGGCTGAGGCGAGCTGGTCTGGGAAGCTCAGTCCTCACCTCCTTCTACAGGTGTGCAGTGGAGAGCATCCTGTGCTCCAGCATCAACGTGTGGCATGGAGGCTGCACAGCTGCAGAAAGAAAAGCTTTGCAGAGAGTGGTGAAGGCTGCACAGAAATCTGTCGGAATCAGCCTCCCCACCATCACAGACATCTACACCTCCAGATGCAGGAAGAGGGCCACCTGCATCATGAAGGACCCCACTCACCCAGCACACACACTTTTTGCCCCACTCCCCTCAGGAAGGAGGTTAAGGAGCATTAAGTGTAGAACCACTAGACTGAGGAACAGCTTCTACCCTGAGGCTGTTAGACTCATGAATCTCTAACCAGAATAATCACTGTGAAAAACCATATCATGTTGCTGCTGATCTGTTTCATGTTGCTGCTGATCTGTTTCAATGTTGATGTGTTCATGCGTGCACATCTGCTCACAGACTCATGTTCATGTTTGTGCTGATGTTCAATGTTTTATGTTATGAGTGCTTAGTGTATATTTAGTTGATGTTTTTCTTAGTTCATATCTTAGATGTTATTACTGTTTTTCTTATACATTTTATTGTTGGATGTAACTGGGACCCTGTGTACATAATTTCGCTCCACCACATGTACCACATGAGGTGCGAATGACAATAAATAAACTCTGACTCTGACTCTGACTCTCTGACTTAACCTCGTTCGACTTATCTACCGGGATCATTGAGCATGAATCAGAACACTTAAAGTGGTTTAGTTTATTT